GGGATGTTTTGCACAATTCTCTTTTGAGGGAAGGTAGGGAGACAAAAAGAAGAAATTGGAGGTTGAAAGGAAGAGAAAACATATTAGGGGAAATGCTCATTTATTTTTGTAGAATTCATGACTACTTCAGTTCCTTACTAATTACATGTAAAAGGTCTTCGGACATCATTGTCAACTCCCAGAGATTAAAAAAAAATAATGGATATGCACCAAATTTATCATTGGAAATAGCATAAAAACACCTGTTGGCACCAGTTTTCTTTATGATTGGCAGTAGTCAAAATGGATCAGAGTGCCACAGAGATCCCATGTTTGGGAGAAGGGTCCTTCAGCATTCATCAGAGTATTCTCTGAAAGTCTGGGAACGCAGAGGCAGCAGACTGAGGTCCAGATCTTGCGCTGAACCCAGAATGGCCTTCGGTACGATGTGCTAGAGTCTCTTTAGCTATTAATTACTTTTACAGCTGCTGCTCTAAAAACAGAAGGGATAAAAATTGCACTGTGTGTTCCATTGAAAGTGCAAAAAGGAATAGCAAAAAGAAATCCATGGACTCTGCCTTGCAAATGAATCAAACTTTTCCTTTAATGTGTTTCTGCTTACCTGAAAATCACTTATAAGAGAGGAGTAGGCCGGGCGCGGTGGCTCAAGCCTGTAATCCCAGCACTTTGGGAGGCCGAGGCGGGTGGATCACGAGGTCAAGAGATCGAGACCCTCCTGGTCAACATGGTGAAACCCCGTCTCTACTAAAAATACAAAAAACTAGCTGGGCGTGGTGGCGCGTGCCTGTAATCCCAGCTACTTAGGAGGCTGAGGCAGGAGAATTGCCTGAGCCCAGGAGGCGGAGGTTGTGGTGAGTCGAGATCGCGCCATTGCACTCCAGCCTGGATAACAAGAGCGAAAGTCCGTCTCAAAAAAAAAAAAAAAAAAGAGAGAAAGGAGTAACAAATAACAAAGTAAGAACATTTTTTTTTAAAAGTTCAGCACTGTGAATGAAGTCATTTAAGTAAAGTACTGATGAGCCAGTGAGTGTGAAGTTAATAAGCCTGCCACCCCTGCATGCTGCCTAGACATGGGTATCTGGGATGTTCTTTTTACCCACGCATCTGACCATGCTTCTGTCTTGGTGGAAGAGAGCTTATAAAGATATTAAAATAACTTTACTTACAAAATTAAAATATATTCATCTTCACTTTCTTTTGACGGTTGAGATTTGCATTTGCTGCATATACAGACTTGTACATCTACTCTGAACACCATTAGAGCTCTGCACAGTGATCTTCCTGAGTTTCTACCTTAGTTCCCATTCTCTATCACTTAGTTTCTGTTTCTTCACTTACCAGCACCTGCTTTTTATAGCTGCAGTTTCAAGGCAGATCTCTCATTATTCCTTCTGAGAGACATTTATTTGTATAACCACTGCAGCTTCCAATTAGGCCACTGAGTAAGTGCCACTTAAGATTCTCATCAGCCTGCTGTTGCCATTATTCCAATGCAGTAGCAACCATGAATGCCAGATTTTAAAAATATATTTGAAATTAGAAAAAACATAGTGGAAAAAAATTAAATGTGATACCTACCGTTTGAGCAATTCCCTTGTGTGGGTTTTTCAAATGAGAAGTTGATTAATGATAATATGAAAAGCTTTCACCTGAAACAAGCATATCAATTAGCATTTTAAAAAAATATTCTGTCTTTAAATTAATGACCTGTAGGTACTTTTTTTCTGATTGACATAGCCCCTTTTTAAAATTTTCCTTCTCTTTAATTGAGCATAAAACAATAATTTTTTTACAGTCTTTTTATCGGGTGTGACATAATACACTGACATTCTGCACAGTAGTTTATATTTTGAAACAATTATATGTTTATATCCGGACTAGAAAATTAAATTATTGAATAGGTTTCAAGATTTTCTAAATCATACCAAATTCTCCTTCACAGGAAATATGTCACATCCATGTTTTAGTGTATTAATGTGTGGTAACAGTCTTTGGATCACATACCACATAAATAATACCATGGTAGCATTTGTATTTGACAAGTAAGTTACAGCCATAAATAAGCCATTATATGAAGAAGGATATCAATCTTTTCTTTACTTCTTTTCCCAATTAGCAGATTTTAAGAAATGAATTTAGAATTTATTATTATACCTTTATCAGTAGTGACGAAGGGTATGGGTTCTGGAGGAGAGAATCAGGGGATTAAATATTAGCCTTGTCACTTTTGGCTTGTAGAGAAGAAAACCTTTTCCTATACCTTCTTATCTTCTGTAGTTGGAGCCTGTGAATTAAAACAGAAGACAGATTAATAGAAGAAGAGCATGCAAAATTTACTTGATGTTAATATTTGTACGTGTACATGGGCTTTAAAGAAATAGAAAGAAAAAACCTATAGAAGTGATTAGACTTGGAGTTATATACCATTTTAACAAAAAGTGATAAATTATGGAGAAGTGACTGGACAAAAGAAGGGGGCTCGGCCTTCTAGGAGTGGCATGTTGTGGGAAGGTAAATACATGGAGGAAACTAAATGTTAGATAAGGTTTGTGTAGTAAGGTTTGTCTGTACAGACTCATTTAGGTGCTGTCTCCATCTCCAGTGGTACAGTTTGTTCTCTTTTTCCTGATATGGAAGACGGGGAAATACTTTCACAAGAAAGCTTTATGCCTTATGTTTATGCAGATAGGGGAAGGGTAAAGAGCTCTTCTTGTGTCTGCTTTTTCTCAATTGCCTTCGAATTAAAATCTTAAAATAATCATTATGCCAAAGTGGCCTATTTTTGTGTGACATATTCTTTTTTTTTTTTTTTTTTTTTTTTTTTTTTTTTTTTTTGAGACGGAGTTTCACTCTTGTTATCCAGGCTGGAGTGCAATGGCGCGATTTCGGCTCACCGCAACCTCCCCCTCCTGGGTTCAGGCAATTCTCCTGCCTCAGCCTCCTAAGTAGCTGGGATTACAGGCACGTGCCACCATGCCCAGCTAATTTTTTGTATTTTTTAGTAGAAACGGGGTTTCATCATGTTAACCAGGATGGTCTTGATCTCTCGACCTCGTGATCCACCCACCTCGGCCTCCCAAAGTGCTGGGATTACAGGCTTGAGCCACCGCGCCTGGCCTTGTGTGACATATTCTAATCCCCTCCAGATGTTATGACTGTCAACAAGTTCTTATACTCCTTCAAGCCTCAGTCTCCTTCTGGGCAAATGAAGACAATAATTGTGTGTGTGTGTGTGTAGGAGGGAATCCTGCAAGTGTCGTGGCAAGGGCCTGAAGCCTCAGCCTGTTCCCATATAAATATTGATTTAGAAAATAATTAGAAATATAAGCACATAGTTATTCCTTTATATAATCATCTGTAATTTTGTTTTCACTCACTTATAATCATGAAGATATATACTCAATATAACCTTTAATTTTACTAACGATTATCAGGTTACGAAGCATGGAACTGAGGAGACATTGTGAACAAAGTGATCCTAAGGCATTGCTCTAAGCCCTCTGTCACACCTGCACAAGGGCTGCTGGAGAGCACCTCAGCTGTGCAGCAGTGCCAGCACTGGGAAAGTGCCTGCTGTTTAGCCAGCTAGGGAAGGAGACGTCCAAAATGGCTGAGACGTCTCCTTCCTTGGGGGAGTTAGGAGAAAACTCTGCTCCTCCAAACTCTTGTGGTAAGGCCTGACGGCTGTCAGGGAGGCCTGCAGGCATCCAGGGACTTAACTGTCTCTCTGTGATGCTGTGCTTCAGTGGTCATGTTCCATGTCCACTCTCACACTCTGCTTCTGCACCTGGTTTCTCTTTTTATCAGAAGATAAGAATTAATAGTAGTAACATAAACTTAATGTCCTTGATATTTCTGACAAATATGCGAAAAGTGCTGACGCATTAGATTTTCTCCTCGCCTTCAGCTACTTGAATGTTTTGGGCCCCCTATCTCCAAGACATGTGATTTACCTGACCCTGTCACTGACCACCATTACCTCACACTACTTCCCTGCCCCCTGCTTTGTACTCAATAAAAGTCAGAGCGTCCGGGCACTCAGGGCCACTGCCAGACTCTGTGCTTTGGTTGGCAGTGGACCCCTGGGCCCAAACTCTGTTTTCTCTTTCTCAGTGTGTTGTGTCTTTTATTTCCACAGTTTCTCATCTCCACACAAGCAGAGAGGGGCTCACAGGACCCTGTAGGGCTGGATCCTATAAATAATGGTACCTATTTCTTAGTGTTGTTATGGGCATTCAATAAATAATACATACAAACAGCTCAGCACAGAAGTAGGTACATAATAAGTGTTTAATAAACTAGAGCTATCATCCTTATTTTTATCTCCAGAATCCCTTTCTTGCTTTCACTTACAGAAGGTACATGCATACCAACTCTGCCCATTAATTAGCATTTATGTATGTATAAATACGTATGTAAGAAATGGAGGAATGAGAAAAAAACAGGATCGGGATCATTTAGTCTTAAGTGTAAAGTGTTAAAGAGGATTTAAACAGCAATGTTTAGGCTAAAGATAATAAAAGAGAGGAGATTTAAATTGAGGAATGAAAATTTAGGTTGAGAGTAAAGAATTTATTAAATACAACTCCTTATTATGGGTGTATTTTAGTTATGGGTGTGTGTATGTAATTAGTTCTCATCATCTACTCTTAAAATCAGACTTGTCACTTTTACCCTCCACTCCTGTCGGCCACCAGGTCACACTGTTAACTGGCTCATGCCCATCTCTTCATTTTAATTCCCAATGTTACCTCCTAGGCTGAGTTCACATCTTGTTAAACCTAGATTCATGCAATATCCTCCTAGACAGTCTCTTAATCTTTTAATATCTTACTCATTCTATTCAGTCCTGTGTTCTGCCAACCAATTACTATTCCTTGAAAACTACTTTGTTTAATCTCTCTGATTTCCAACTGCCTACATAGTAAGATTCTAATTCTTTGGTTTAGCTTTCAAGACTCTATTCAATCTAACTTTAACCTATGTTTTTTGTTCCATTCCTCTCCCTTCCCCATCCACTCTAGTTAGAGGGAAGTTGCCTGGCATGGGGATAAGGACGCAGATTCCAGAGCAGGCTGCCTGCATGAACTCCGGGTCCCCACCAGCCAGTTTTAAACTAAAAGTTCAGATATTCTGATCTGTGGAATGAACATCACACAGACCTGCTGAGGTGGAAATGTGGACTTTAGGAGGTGAGACCTACATCACTCATAGGTAAGTGTCCTTCCTAAATCTACAGAGTGGACAACAAACCTAATTCACTTGTTTAAAATAATCATTGGGAAGGAAATTGCAAATGTTCTGACTCTGGAGAGATAGAGGATGACTGGCAGGCAAAGAAGAAATCTCAGGCTTCAGTAATGAGAATTTTTCGTGAGTCCCTTAGTCAAACTCATGAGACCTGGAGAGTGTATGGGGAAGGGGTGCAGGGATAGAAAAAGCCGGAGATGATGAGGCTGGGAGAGTAAGCTTCTCTTACCACTCTTCTCTATTCTCCCTACTCCCACACTCTTCCAGTGGGACGAAGTGCCCCAAATTATAAGTCACTGTGTCCCAAGGGGTCCGGAGTTTAGGTGCCTGAACATGGCAGAGGGCCTTTCTAGACTGGTGAGTGTCAGAGTTGGATGGGTGCTAGTGTCACAGGTGTGACAAGTCATCCAGGTTGGATTTGGGCATCAGCCAGAGGACGCTGAGGGAAACAGAGAGTTTGGATAGGTTCCCACACCTGTGGGAGAACAGCTCCCCATTACTTCCTTGAAGCCCAAGATGTCATTAATTCCTAGCTTTCCTTGGCTAAAAAGCAATTTGCTCATGCGTTGGCTTTGGGAATGGTGTTTGGACTGACTATCATCTACCCAGAATCTTCTACATTTCCTGGATAATATTTATCATTATGTTTTTGTGTCACCATATATTCTCTGGAATAATAATACATTTTTGAGTCCCTGCTATATTCTAGAGCCTTTAAAATATTTATATTCCCCATCAGCCCTGCTTTATTAATGCAGAAACTAAGGCTTATGTAGGTTAAGTGGTAGAACCAGGACCTTAACCCAAGTCTGTCTGCGTCCAGAACACAAATTATTGCAGCTTTCTTTACAAAAATCTGTAAATTTCTTATCTCTCTCTCTTTTAACCCACAGGTTTGACCTTTCTGTCATCCCCAGCAAAGTTCTGAATGTGGATTCTGACTCTGAGCTGAAGGCATGTTTCATGAAGTTTCCTGTTGCCCTTTCACTGCACAGTTGGGCTTAGAGGCAAACTTGGATGATAAAAATATAGTTCCCATGCTATCCCTTACAAAGATTTGAGAAAAAGTACAGAAAGAAAGGCAAAGCTAATTACTCAGTATGCATCTGTTAGTTTTAATGCAATAAAAGAAAGAGTCGGCTTCATAATATAGCAAAGATTACATTTAGAAGATAAATAAAAGATATTAGAAAGCACCTCATGAGAAATTAATGCCGTACTTGGTTTAAAGACCAAGCAGTCAATGCACCAAGAAATCTTTATGGGAAATTACTATGTGGCAGACATGGTTAGGTGGCTGCAATATGTTTGCCTTGGTTGATGAGTTTCATCTTTCCTACTGAGTGTCCTGTAAACATGGCAAACGTGGCAGCATTCCTATATCCAGGTTACCTATTATAAAATATTAAATTAATTATGTTGAAAATCATGCTAGCAGACCAATGAATTTTTCAAAGATAATGCTTTATTGGATTCATTCCTTTTTTTTTCCAACCATTTTGTCTGGAAAGATGGGATTTTAAAAATATATATATAATGATATTTTTATAACTTATAATTTGGCTAATAATTATAGTTCAGAACTTCACTCTTTTTGAGTGCTGGATCAAATTACTAATGGCTTTTCTACAGGTCTTGTTCCTCCAAATCTACCTAACTAAAGCTCTGTTTAAAAAAAAAAACAAAAATCAATATTAACTCTGTTACAGAAATTTTATCAGACTGGCAGTCCAAGCTGTTAAAATTTCTTGTATCAGTTTGAAAAGATTCTTAACTGGGTGTAGTGACTTATGGTTGTAACTCCAGTGCTTTGGAAGGCCAAGGCAGGAGGCTTGCTTGAGGCCAGGAATTTAAGACCAGCCTGGGCAACATGAGAAGACCCTGTCTCTGCAGGAAAAAAAAAAATGTGTTATATATATACATATATAGATAGATAGATATGGTTTTTATTATATATCTAATATATATTATATATAAATATATATAATATATATAAAATATATAATAAATGTATTTATATATAATATATAATATATATTTCATTGCTAAATATAATATAATTTATATTATATAATTTATAATTTTTTAATTATATATAATATATATAATTTATTTTTTATATTTATTTATCATATATAATATATACATATAAAATAAATTAATCAGTTGTGCTAATGTGTGCCTATAATCCTAGCTACTTGGGAGACTGAGGCAGGAAGATTGCTTGAGCCCAGGAGTTTGAGGCTGCAGTGAACCGTGATTGCACCACCGCCCTGCAGCCTAGATGACAGAGTGAGGCCCTGTCTCTAATATATAAATAAATAACAAAGATTCTTAATGCCCTTCATCTATTAGGAAATATTTCATTATTGAAGAAAAGTCTCACTTTTAAACTTGACTTTGACCACCACTCTGTTCTCATGACTTATGTCCCTTTGATACTTAAATCATTCACCTAGCTAATTGGGCCTGTGTCAGTGTCCCATGAGTGCTGCTCTGACAGGTGTTCTACTTGTCAGGCAGGGCTTCCTTAGCTTCCCTTTTATTATTTCTTCTCCCTCCTTCCCCAGGAGAGTTATAACTCTATGTGAAGCTCTCAGATATAGAACAGAGCTACACATAAAATGTGCACATACACAAATGAGTAAGGAGTATAACCACACTAAAGAATTATTTCTCTTCGAAACTCAATGACCACACTGTCCTCTTGTTTGAAAAAGACCAGGACTCTTACCCTGAAGACCAGGCAGCCATCCAGCTATGCTCAGTCGCTATTTTTTGGTATCCATTCTAAGAAGTTATCATTTTCATGAGAATGAGGTGCTTGTTCTACCACATAAATTTTAACTTTGGAAAGCAACTCTTTGGAGCTTTAATTTCTTCTGGGCAATATTTTTCAGGCCCGGTTGGGCTTCTGTGTTTGGACATCTGAGTTCTCACTTTCGGAGCTTGTGCTTCCTGAGTACTCTATCCTATCACAGCTTTGCCAGGACTTGGTAGCTAAAGTATAAGCTGAAATAATTATGTAGTTAATTTATGCTAAAACCTGTCTTACTCCATTTAGCAAGTTTTATTTTGATGTATGCTTACAATCACTTCAAATCACTACTTCACTTTGGCAATGCTAAATTGTTTCTACGGTGTTACTATTCTTGTTTATAAAATGCTACTGTTCCTGCAGACCGGCTAAATTGTTTATATAATGCTACTGTTCTTGCTCATCCTGCAGAACAGCTAGTGAAGTTTATTTATAACAATATGACTTGTTGTTATTACATCATTATACCTCATCTAATAACAGTTCCTAATACATTGGGTATTGCACAAAAGGCACTCAAATATCTTTTTGTAAGTACTCTTAACAAGGCAAGCTTCTGTCAATAGGTTATGCTAATATTCAATTTGTATCATATTTAGATAACATCTTTAATATGCAGTTATTTCTATTTGACTCATGGCCTAGTTTGCTGATGAGAACTCAAGCTTTGAGAATCAGGGATTGGTTCATTCTTACTAAGTAAAGCAATGCATTATTGATTTTAGAGTTAATCCAAACTGACATTATTATTATTATACTTTAAGTTCTGGAGTACATGTGCAGAGCATGTACGTTTGTTACACAGGTAAACATGTGCCATGATGGTTTGCTGCTTCCACCACCCCATAATGTACATTAGGTATTTTTCCTAATGCTATCCCTCCCCTAGCCCCTCACCCCCAACAGTCCCCAGTGTGTGATGTTCCCCTCCCTATGTGCATGTGTTCTTTTTGTTCAAAACCCACTTATGAGTGAGAATATGTGGTGTTTGGTTTTCTGTTCCTGTGAAAACTGACATTTTTATGACTGCTATGGACAAAATGTTTGAATCTCCCCAAAATTCGTATGTGGAAGCCATAATCCCCAGTGTGGTTGTTTGGAGATGGGGACCTCTAAGGAAGAAATTAAGGTTAATTGAGGTCATAATGGCGAGTGGCTCTCATCCAGCAGGATTAGTGTCCTTATAAGAGGAGACATCAGAGACCACATATACGTGTACATTCTCCATGTTCAGCCCTCAAACCAACCCTGCTCACAACTTGATCTTGGACTTCCAGCCTCTGAAAGTCCAGCAAAGACAAGTGAGCATTTATAGCCAAGTAGCAAGTTGTGGGGGTCAGTGGATGGAAAATTACTGAGAGGAAACATGAGTAACAAGGGATTCTGGTTAAACAGGCTTAACAGGATTCTTACTGAAGTCAGGCCAGAGTAATCGGATATCACCTGGGAGATGGTGGGAGATAAGGAATTTGATCAAATATTGAAGATGATCAGATATAAAGGGTGAAAGATTCTGGTGAAACAAATTTGACAGAATTTTTGCTAAAATTGGGCAATGCAGACAGACATGGAAACCCACAGTTCAGGGCCTGGTTGGATTGTCTCTCGCAGGGTTGAAAAAATAATCCTCTGTTTTCTTCAAGAAGTTTTAGAATTTTATCTTTTACATTTAGGATTATGATCTGTCTTTAACTAATTTTTATAAATGGTATAGAGTTTGAGGTACAAATTTTTTCCTATAGTCATTTTTTATAGAACCTTTTGTCAAAACGTTTCTTCCCCCTATTAACTTATGTTGATGACTCAGTTAAAAAATGATCAAGTGACTAGGTAAATGTGGGTTGGTTTCTGGATTTACTACTTGCTTTTGTTAAAACTATTTATCTATCTTGACATCATATCATGCCATCTTGATTATACTAAGTTTTGAAATCAAGTGATATAAGTACTACGAAGTATTTTTCTATTTCAAGATAATTTTGGCTATTCTGGGTAGTTGGTCTTTTCTTTCTTTCTTTGAGACAGAGTCTCACTCTGTTTCCCAGGCTGGAGTGCAGTGGCACAAGCTTGGCTCACTGCGACCTTCACCTCCCAGGTTCAAGCAATTCTCTTGCTTCAGCCTCCTGAGTAGCTGGGATTACCAGCACGTGCTAAAATGCTGGGCTAATTTTTTTTTTTTTTTTGTGCTTTTCATAGAGACAGGGTTTCACCATGTTGGCCAGGATAGTCTTAAACTCCTGACCTCAGGTGACTCATCTACCTCAGCCTCCCAAAGTGCTGAGATTACAGGCATGAGCCACCACGCCTGACCTTGGTCTTTTCATATACATGTTAAAATTATCTTGTCAATTTCTACGGAAATTAAAAAAAAAAACAACTAAGATTTTGTTTGGGAATATTTTGACTCTACGGATCAGCTTAGAAAACAATTACATCTTAAAAATATCGAGTCTTCAAATCCATGAACATGCTATATATTTCCGTTTATTTAAATGTTCTTTAATTTCTTCCAGCAGTGTTTTTTACTCTCAGCATAAAGATCTTAGCTATATTTTACTTAAAATATCCTAAGTAAATTGTGTCAATCAATACTATTTTAAATTGCTTTGGATTTTTAATTTAATTTTCCCATTCTTCTTTGATAGTATATAGAAATATGATAAATATTTTAATATTAACCTTATATGAGTGGCATTGTTAAAATCATATATGAGCTCCAGTAGTATATTTTTTAGATGTTTATAGTTTTTAATATACACAGCCATGTTATTTTTGAATAAAGATAGTATACTTTTTTCTTTCCAACATTTATGCTATTTATTTTATTTTCTGGTTTTATAGCACTGACTAAAACTTTTAGTAGAATGTTAAATACAACACACACACACACACACACACACACACACACCATTTTTGCCTGTGTAAACCTTGGGTAAAGTTTTATCTGGAGGAAGAGATGGTCAGATATCCACTGGTTGAAAGGGTATGGCTAACAGTTTGGCTGAATAATCATCAATTAAAAGGAACATGATTGGCAACTTGGTGATAATGAGGTCTGGAAAGATGTACGTGAATCTCGGCATACCTTGAGCATAGATCATTAAGAAATTTGTGTCCCATATCAAGGCCCAACAAAGAGCCACTTCAGAAGAATAAGTAGGTATAATGGTCCAGTCTATGGACATGAGTGAACTTGTTTCTCAGCTAAATCTTTCTTTGTCCAATTGGCTCATAAACAAAGTGGTCATCG